CTGTAGAGCATAATCATAGAATCACACAAAATTAGGGTTGGAAGGGACCTCAGGAGGTCATCTAGTCCAACCCCCTGCTCAAAGCAGGACCAGCCCCAACTAGGTCATTCCAGCCAGGGCTTTGTTGAGCTGCACCTTAAAAACCTCCAAGGATGGAGAGTCCACAGCTTCTCTAGGTAAGTTGTTCCAGTGTTTTACCACCCTCCTAATGAAAAAGCTTTTCCTAATATCCAACCTAAAACTCCATTGATTCAACTTACGACTACTGCTCCATGTTCTGTCATCTGTCACCACTGAGAACAGTCTAGCTCCATCCTCTTTGTAATCACCTTCAGATAGTTAAAAGCTGCTATCAAATCCCCCCTCAATCTTCTCTTCTGCAGACTAAAGCCCAGTTCCCTCATACTTTCCTCAGAAGTCATGTGCCCCAGCCCCCTATTCATTTTCATTGTCCTCCACTCTACTCCTTCCAACTTGTCCAAATCCTTTCTACAGTGGGGGCCCAAAACTGGACACACTACTCCAGGTGTTGCCTCACCAGTGCAGAATTGAGGGGATTAATTACTTCCCTTTATCTGCTGGCAATGCTCCTACTAATGCAGCCCAGTATGCTGTTAGCCTTCTTGGCAACAAGGGCACACTGCTGACTCATAGTCAGCTTAGTGTCTACGGTAACCCCCAGGTCTTTTTCTGCAGAGTGGTTGCTTGGCCAGTTAGTTCCAAGCCTGTATCGGTGGACGGGATTGTTCTGTCCTAAGTGCAGGATTTTGCACTTGTCCTTATTGAACCTCATAAGACTTCTTTTGGCCCAAGCCTCCAACTTGTTGAGGTCACTCTGAATCCTAGCCCATCCCTACAGTGTATCTACTGCATGCCTCCTCTGCCCCCAACCCTCCCAGCTTGGTGTCATCTATGAACTTGCTTAGGGTCCATCCCATCCCATCTTCCAGATCATTAATGAAGATATTGAACAAAAACTGACTCCAGAACTGACACATAATCTTGAATTGCAGAATTAAATAGTTAGCATATTAAGATATTTTTCATTCCCCTTTCCCTATTCAATGGGTACATCTACACATGCAATTAATGTGAAGCAATAAACTCCAATGCATATCATGCTGGAGTTCATTTCTCCTCAGTGTTTGCATTTGTGCCTGGGACCACAGTACGTTGAGCTTTGTTGGAACAGCCCCAGGTAGCAGGGAGCCCAGGGATCAGCCTGCCAGCATGAGGCTGCTTCAGCCCAGCTCAGCATGCGGCAGTGGGGCTGGCTGGGGCACAAGGGTGGTCCAGTGTGGGGATAGCCCACAGGCAGACCCCACACTGAAACACCCTCATGCCCCAGCCTGTCCCGTCAGCCTCTACATGTGCGTTGCACACTACAAAATGCCACCACAGGATAGTACTTGTAAATACAAGTACTAATTTATGGTGGTATTTATTAGTTTCCTGCAACCTAATAGGGCCAAATGTGTGGATGCCGGGGATCTTACTGCTGAGCTAATGAGGCAGCTCTGCAGTAAACGTCTCATGTAGACATGCCCTGTTTGTCCAGTGTTGCTTTTGTGATTATTTGGCTTAGAAATGTATTTATTTATTTTACTGCAGATGGGGTGAGACTAGCTGTTAAAATAGTTTAAAAGTTACTTGAGAAGCATAGGATACTTTGCTAGTTTCAGTTTGTGCCATGGTTTACTGATGTGTAATACTGCAATTCAGTAAAGACAAGAACAGGTAAATTTGCTTTGCACATGTACTTAGACATGACAACAGTTGTGTTTGGCTGCTAGTACTTTACATGTGATACCCAAGAGTCTAGTTTAAAGCATTCTTGCTGTGTTGCAGTAACAGTAAAGTACCAATAATAATATGTTTTTCTTTTTCAAAGATAAATTACCCTGTTAAATGCAGGACATGTTGAGACTGTGCCCCTGCAGTGTCAGGAGAGCTGGCTTCTGATGGTATAACTGAAAGTAGCTGTACAAAAAACACTCAAAAGAAATAAGTGGGGCAACCCCCTAAAAAAAATGTATCCTATTCTTATTTTATCAGTTTAAAGAAGATAGTTGGAAATATCAGCTGTCCTTATACGTTTTTAAATCCTTACTAATTTGAGGGGTCAGAGCATATTCCTCTTTCTGCAACAGTCTGTTTCTGTGGCTAGGAACAGATGTTGTATTTTGTCCCCAGACATACTTGTGTCCTGGACAAGTTCAGTCAGAACAGAAATATTGTGGGATTGACGTGTACACACATTGCCCTTCTAATCACGGTTTAGTGAGCAGCTGAATGCATGTTGCTTTTCTGCCATTGATTCAATGATGCAATCCTGGTAACCATTCAGATGCACTTTGTCCTGGGATCAGCTGTTAGTACTTCTTATCCTGTGATCCATTTTAGGATTTATCCTAGGACAGCAGACATTGATGTATGTTGGCACAAATGTGACAAATGTTATTTGTGGCCTATAAGAATAGTCTGCTTCAAATGTGAAGCTTGGATAGGCTGAAGTTATGTATGGTATTTATTCATATTTTCCTTTTTTAAAACATGTCAATGAATTGTAAGCAGTCAGAGAAAAGTGTCAATACCTGTTCCAGTCCCAGTGCCATTTTTTTTTCCATTCGTGTTTTTGTGGTGAAGGAACCTACATTTTCCGTCTACATGTAGGATGAATGCTTTAGTAAGAGGCTTTAGTTAGGTTTATATGCTCAGCCTTTCCTTCCATTTCTGTCCAGGCTGTGGGAAGAAAATTAGTGGCTGCAGCTAGACTAGCTTAATGTGAATGGCTGTCTTGAGTTATGTTCCTCTGAAAATTGCCACTGTCCATAAGTAGTTTAGTCTATATGGCTGGAACAAACAGCTGAATATACAATAGAACAGCATACAAATACAGAACGTGAAATTCTGATCTCAGTGAACTCTCATTGACTTCATTGGGACCAGAGTTTCACTCACTGTTTGTACAGAAGTCAGATAAAGGAACTTTTTGCCTTTAGTGATCTTCATCCACATAGACCCTGTCCATACAAGTGTGGATGTTTGGTTCCCCAGGGACTACTAGAAGCAGCGCACCTTGTGCTACCTCCAGGTGTCCCTGGGGAATAGCTGTACCACGTGCCCTTTGACACGTGGCAAATTACCCTGGGTGGGGTAGGGGAGTCTGTGGCTAGCACTGGGCTGGCCTCAGCAGCCTTACCTGGGGTTCTGGGGGCCTGCCAGGGCTGCAATGATCATGTGACTCAGAGCCTGGCCGGCAGCCAAAGCACTGCTCCAGACAGCCTGGTTCCGGTTTTAAGCAGTGCACATTGTCCCTGCATGCACCACACTGCTGTTTTTCCCCATGCGTTTTTTTTATCCATCCAAGGGTCATCCCCCCCGCTCTGCTCCGTTGCAGCACAGAGAACACTTGAAGGTGCGATATGTGGTGCCACACGCATGTTTGTGGCGCCACATTCCTTGCGGAATCGACACAGCCAGCTGCTCATCTTGACACAGCCTGTGTTGTAGTAACTCAGAAAAGTTCATAGCATGTTGCACCAAAATCCAGTTCCTGCTCTCTAAATTGACAAAGGGTTTTTCTTCTTTGCTTGGTTCTCTCAGAGGAATATTATTTGGCAGAAGGTGGGCAGGGTAACATCTTAGAGATTAACCAGTTTGGAGAGGCATGAGCTTCTTTAGGCAACAACATCCTTTGTTTGATGTTAGATATAGGTTCCTAGCCTCTGATGAAGTAGGTTCTTGCATATTAAAGCTCATGTCTCTCTAAACCAGTCTCTAAGGCCACCCCTACATGTTACATTTATGTTGTGATTAATGTGGCAAATGTTCTACATTCTACTGGTAGAACATTTTTATGGCTGGGTTGTGTAGAGCCTTACATTTAACATTTGACAGGGGCTGACATTAAGCTGACTGTTGGTCCCAGGGCCAGGACTGCTCTGGGGTCTGGAACCAGCCCTCAAGTGGTCCCAGCCCTGGGACTGAAAATCAGCGGATTGTCAGCCCTAGCCCATGGTTGCAGGTGGGTGAGGGCAGAAGGGCTTCCCCTGCTGGGGACTTTAAATCCTGTTGGGAGTCTCTGATGCCCTGTGCTCAGCCAGAGCTGCTGGTCACATGGTCACAGGGTTTAAAGTCCCCAGTGGAGTAAGCCCTTTGGTTCCTCCCATCAGGAGCCTCTGATTTCCTGTGCCAGGCTGCCAGCCATGCAGTTTTGATGATCAGCTGATTGTTGGTTTCAGACTGCACCAAGACCGGTTCAAGTCCTCAGTATAGTCCTGCGGCCAGAGCTGATCTTTAGCTATGGGATCATACTGAGGCTGTTGTGAGACCCCATGCAAACCTGGGGCTGGAGCCAACAATCAGCTGATTGTCAGCCCCAGTTCAACCTGCTGGTCCTGTGTTTCCTGGGTTTCCTTTGCACTGGCAAGTAGTAACGGCACAATTGAGATCTGATCTCTGATCTTCAACTTGCACCTCCTGCCATGCGCGTATGGCGCGGCAGGAGGCACTGTTGTTGGAATTGGGGATCAAATCTCCTTTGCTCCATTAAATGAAAGTATGCCAGTGGCATAAGGTGCCACCCTGTCCTACCTTCACCCTGGCTTTAGGGAGACATGGCTAACTACATCTGTGCTTACGAACTAATGTCATTTCAGAAGATTGCGGAGCTTAAAATTATATTAATGTTAATTCATTTGTGGGTCCAAAAGCTTAGCATAATATATTATAGATATATATTTTTCAGAATAATTTAGTTCTGTTAAAAAATGTGGACGCTATTAATGTATTTGGAAAAGCCAAATTAATGGGATTTCTTAAGTGAAAAACAGTAGGTTGCAGTGCTGTTGTTTTAATAGACTGTACATTCTGTAATTTGAATAATTATGAATTTCAACAATTTATTAGGTTTAAAAAAACAACAAAAAAATCACCTTCTGTTCCATTCCATATTTAGGAAATGTAATGCTAATGATTTTTTCTTTTTTCCTCCGTAGCTAATTCCAGTCTTCTAGGAGGTGGAGGGGGTAAGTCTTTTTTTAACATTGTTTCTTGTCTAAAACGCATGACCAGAAATCTGCACTGATAAAGAACAGGAAGATTTAGTTATTCTTATAATGGCATATACTGTATGCGTACAATAAATTCCTAAGGAAAATCTCTTTGAAATGAAAAAAAAGCACAGGTTTTTTTTTCCTGTTATACACAACCAGGTGGTTATGACCATTACTGTCAGGTGTGGACCTTTGTGAGTGTCATCCATTCCATTTTCCCCCTCTAGATTAGATTTCCTGATGTGTTCTGCTTGGGACTACACCATAAAGCCATCCCAAAAGCAAAGTTGATTTACCACAAATTAAATAACTTCAAGGTCACCCAAACCTATGAATAAATATCAATGAAATAAGCATTGCAAAAGAAAACATTGCAATTTAATACCTCTTATTCATAAAATGATAAGGTTTTGCTCATAACTTTTTATCTCAGTTATTTACTCTCCCAGCTGGGAAAACAGTGCACAGGAATAATACTTTACTACTAATTGTTTTTCTCCATGATGTTGTATTTTGGAATGAGCATGCACAATTTTGAGCTAGGGGGATGCAAACTTGTATAGCACATGGCAGTCTTGTTTCTAATATTTCTAGTGTTATTCAGAAACATAATAACCTGTTTAAAAAACAAAATCAGGCAGGGCTAAATTCCAGCATTTCTGTTACTCATTCTGTCCCCAGAGGGGAGGAAAAAAAGCTCTGTAGTGAAAATTTCACAGTGGAGTAGCTGTACAGACAGCTACTAATCTTTCTTCTTGGCTAGAGTTAAAAGGACTTGATGATCACAGCCTACGTACGCAAGGGGAAGTAAAGGGTTCTGTCAAAAGCCTGAAGATTGCTGTTGCTTCTTAGACTCCAAATAATAAGTCAAAGTTTTAACAACCTTAACAGTGTAACAGGATCACTGGGAACCCATGATACTTGTGAAAAAGTGCTTCACAATTATACAGAGGAGCCATTAAAAACATAAACACCTTATTTCAAATATGTATGGTCATATGTTAATTTCCAATGAGCTTTTACCTGATAATCTTCCAGTCGGATTAATCTGTTTCCTTTTCTTTGAGGTAGTTGTTTGTTATATACCAGATTTAGCTGTGTTTGAGAGGTAATCCCTCTGTAGCAATTTATGTTCATAAGAACTGATTACTACGCAGTCTCTTGAGTATTTATTCTCAGTTGGTAACTTTACAAATCAATACAAATGTTCAAATTCCAGTCAGGTCCCTAGAGCTCGGGTTGTTGTAGAAGGGATTTGGTTATTGACTTTCGGCGATATTTATTCAGCTGGACTCTACTTCAGAAGTTGATATCCTATTAGTGTGGCACCACAGAATGTGGGTCTTCTTACTCATTAACCCCGACAGACAGAATGAGGACCAGTCACTAAGTGGGATTTTTTTCCCCCTGCACTTCACAGTTCAATTTTATGCAGTCGTAGTTTCATTTTTATCTGACTTAAGAGACACAAAAAGCATCTCGCGGCCATTTTGTATCCCAACCATGGAAAGTGAAAGGAGCTTGCTCAAAAAACAGTCTCTTCTTTGGAACCTAAAATAGGTTTGCAAGAAAGTGGGTGAACCACTTAATGAAAGGTTAATATTCAAAATAGAATTAATTGGAGTTTTCCTGATACTGGTGGATGAAGGGACCCCCAGTGACTACTGCATTTTGTCCCACTGGAATTATCTTGTGCTGGAATCTAATTTGAGGGTATTCATAAAGATCAGATTATTCACAGCAGCAGCCCCCTTTCAGATGTGATTTCTTTATTAGATGGCTGGCTTATTTGGGTACCTTCTGGACAGGGCCCCCCCAGATGGTACCAGAAACATTAGTTTTGCTGCCAAACAAAGCAGCAGCATGCTGGCTGTGGTCTTCTCTGTACACTGTGCTAGAATACACTTTGTGTTGGAGAAGATATTGCGGTGGATGTTAATTGAAAAGATCACAGTCTCCATTCACCCACGTAAGCTTCTCTGCTCAAAAAGGCAGATTTGGAGAGGAAGGAGAGGGAATGTTTATGCTCACAGGGCATGTCCAAATGAGCATGTATGTGCAGGGACGTGTGTTTCCCGTAGGAAAAATAGCAGTGGCCCATACTTATGCCACTGCTTTTTGTCTCGGAGGATGCCCCTGCATGAGCACTTATGTGCATGGTAAATTAACCCTGTGTGGGGTAGCAGAGGCTGGGACCAGCACCTGGGAGCATTTTTACATGTACTTTTGGGGGGGAAGGGGGTGGCACTTTAATGAGAGCAACTCCAAGAGCCACTCTAATTAAAGCACCTGGTGCATCTCATGTATCAGCATCCCTGCACTTCAAAATGGTGGCGGGGGCACTTTATCTAAAACTTGTCATAGTTAAAGTGCCCATGCCACCATTTTGAAGTGTGAGGATGCTGATACATGAGATGCAGAGGTTGGCTAGAGCACGGTAATTATCATGCCCCAGCAGACTCAATTAATTGAGTCTGCTTTGATGTGCTGTAATTACAGCATTTTGGAGCAGCCTCCCGGTTCATGTATAGGCACCCTGAGGTTCTGGGGGCCTCCTGGGGCAGCAGCAGCATTGATCTGGCAGCACTGGCCAGTAGACACAGCATGGCTGTGGTAGCACATGCTGCTGCCATGTGTATGATGCCATTTTTTTAGCAGTGGTTTTTTGACACTGGGATTTCCAGTGTCCACCTGTTGACCTGGGTGAACAGGTGCACATGTGCTATTTTCAGTGCCTCAAACAGCTTTGAGGTGCTGCCAACTGCACATGTGTGCTCATCTGGATGTGCCCACAATGTCCAATAATGTGAGCTATTAGAATATCAAAGAATTACATCTTGCATCTTGCCCTTTGGTTCTGCTGGTGTTGTTGATCCACCTCTAAGACAGAAGGAGGTCTGCACCAAATTCTCTCCCAATACACAAGCCCTTCCAGTCACAAAAGTGTCCTTCACTCTTCTGCTGGGGCTGCTTCACCTCTGCTGAGTAAGTCAAGGTCCTGCCACTGTTCAGCAGTTGGCAGGAAGCATGTAAAAACACTTCTGAACCTTCAACTAGTTGCTATGGTCCAGTCAAAAGCTGGTGTTGTGCCACAGTGCAGTAACACTGCTGTAGTGGAGCTGCCAGGATCCCATGGCCATGGCATGTGCCCTGGCAGCTTGGTGGTGGCAGCTGCTCTCTCCTGCCACAAATAGTGATGGCAACAGGCAGCTAAATGCAGACCTAACCTAAAACTCTCTTTGTTCTGTCACTCTCGCTGTATAGTGAACTAGTTTATGTTGTCTGAATTTCTTTTAGTAGAGGGCAAAAATCCTTATTTTGTAGACACAAAATTCATGCTTGAAGTGCTTAATTTCTCCAACAGCCAATAATGTAGTGGGAGAGATGGGGGCTTTACAGTTTAGGAGAATCTTGAGTTATTGCTGGTTATTACCTTGTCTGCCAGAATGAATAAGAAAAAAATGCCCAGTGTCTTTGGTTTCGACCAAGCCTCCATTAGCAAACTAGCATGTTATTGGAAACATATAATGAACTTTTACTATAGTATGTCAACTTTAATTTCATTTTCTGTTATGTTTTAGGATTTGGAAAGGTCTACCTGAAAAGGGGTTGTGTTTTCCTCCTCAGTCACCAAATGCAGAACACAATTTTACTTTCTGTAATATGATACTGGCAAACTATTTA